TACATTTTTCCCATTTAAGATCTTGCTAGGAGCTCCTCAAACTACAGATGAGCATTTTTATAAGCATAAATTCACAAGATTACACAATTTACATGTAAAATGGGGCCAGTTTCCTCACGAGGTTCATAAAGCAGCTCTGAGGCAATTCTAAAGGAATTGTTGCAAAATTGGTTTTAGCATTAGTAATATTACTAGAAAAATACAGAAAGACTCCCATGGCAGCTTCTTCCACCAGAATATACAAGTATTATTTTGCTTTTAAAAAAAAAATCCAGAGGGTGTACAAAATTATTTTGATCATAAGAAACTCAATACAAATATCTTGCCAAAATATACATGCCTCCCACAGTCTAAGGATTTGAGGAAATGAAAATGGGTGTGCCCTCTGCTCAGACAGAGATAAAGATTTGTAAGGTGGGGCCCCGATCTGTTCCCTGTCAATGGCATCAGAATCCCCTGGGAGCTTGTTAAAATAAGTAGTGACTGGTCCCACCCCTGCCTGAGACTAGGCCTGGTAGGCGTGGGTGGGGCCCATCCTTCCTTGAATGCTCCAGTTTTGGCTTTGGCCAGCTGCTGAGGCTCTGAGCCACTGTCCTAGGAGGGTAGTCCATCTTCTAGTATCAGAATCTGAGAACTAGTTCTTATGTAGGTTTCTACTATTTCTTATGTAGGTTTCTGGTAGAACAGGCTTGGCTGGGAACAGGTCTATGTCTTTAAGCTTTATTAACTTCCTGAATGACTTGTAAAATGTTATCTTAGTTTGAGATATTATAGATGCAGAGGGATTTATAAACAAATGAAGAAAAAATGTATAGGAAAGCCCAATGTCTTTTCTGATCTAGTTTTACCCCATGGTGATCTGTACCACACTCAGGTAAAACTACAGCATGTCATCAAAACCAGCAGGTGAAACCCGGCTCATGCAGAGATCATGCCGATTTTATCCAAGTGTATATGCACACATGAGTATGTATGTGTAGATATATATGCATGTATCTCTCTCGGCCAATATCATAGTTTCAGCTGCTACTGTCAAGTTGCTGATACACTCATTTCTCCGCTTCATTCTTCAGGGAAAAAAATCAGTTATTCTAAATCTTTGGTCTCCCATACAAACTCTTGAGTAAGTTTGTCCATGCTTACATTCATTCTCGGTAGGATTTTGATCGGAAACGCATCATATCTGCAGGCAGCTGAAGTAGGATTGGGCCTTTGTAGTGTCTTCCAACCCACGGACATGGTTTGTCTCTGCATTTACCTAGGGGTCCTTAGACTTCTTTCATCAAGAGTGTGCGTGTGCATGTGTGCATGTGTGCATGTGTGCATGTGTGCATGTGTGCATGTGTGCATGTGTGTGTGCGCACGTGTGTGCATGTGTGTGTGTTGTCTTCGTTTTACAATGATGGGAAATGAATCCAGGACCTCATGAGCTGGGCAAATGTTCTATCACTGGGCGCCATCCCTAGTTGGTTCTGTGTGGGTTTCCCCTAAACTTTTTAAAATTATACTTATTGCAGTAGTTTGGATGAGAATGACTTTAAAATTATGCATTCCATCATTGTGGTCATAGGACCGTTTAGACTGTTATCATATTTTTCTTTTATTAGTATTTTTATCAGCATGAAAAGCAATGGGCTCCACAACAGCATTTTCACACCCACTTCCTTTATCCTCTGCCAGTCCCTTTCGGGTCCTTCTGTCCCCTCCTTGCTGTTTTTCTTTCTCTGTCTATTATGTGTGCATATGTGTGGGAGTCTGCACGGGCCATAGGAGGGCATCAGATCCCCTGGAGCACTTACAGGTAGTTGGGAGCTGCCGTGTGGGTGCTGGGAACCAAACCCAGGTCCTTTGCAAGAGCAACGTGTACACCTAACTGTTGAGCCATCACAGGCTCTATTTATGATTTATTAAAATGTTTCTATCATTTTGTGTCATGTTCTTAGTTGCATAGGTATGCATCGTAGTTTATCTTGGTCTATGAGTATGGCTGCCTTACCATGGTGAGTGACACGTGCAAACCTTCCACATTGGTTTGCCTTCTTACTTCAGCTTTTCTTCCACGTGTGTTGATCACAGTTGATGATCCTTTAGCTCTTGCTCCAGCCATCCAGCATACGTGAAGAAGTCTCTGAGCAGGGGGATGGCCGTTATGTTTCACCCAATCTGTGGTCTTTGTTTCTTCCGTTATCATTCCACTTCTCCCTGGAGAATCTCCTTTTGCCTTCCTTTGAGGGTAGATCTACCAGTGACCAATTCTCTTAGTCATTCTTCTTCTTAAAATGTAGTTTTTAACCTGTTTCCTGAAAGATGCAGTCACTAGACAAATATTAGCCTGTACCAGCTAAAATATGCCAATTCCTTCTGACTCCCAGGATTTTGGCCTGTGCATGTAGACATGTTTGTGCATGTGTACACATTTATGCGTGTGCGTATGTGGGCACGTGTGCATGGAAGTCAGGGATCAATGTTTGATGTCTTCGTCCATCCCTCTCAACTTTGTATTTTGAGACAGGATCTTTCCCTGAAATTGGAGCTCAGTGTTTGGTCGAACTGGCTGGCCAGCAAGGCCCAATGATTCTCCACCTCTCTAGAGTTAGGTGTGTACCGTCATTGCCCGGCTTTTCCTCCCATGGGTGCTGGGAATTTGAACTCAAGTTCAGCAGCAAAAAAAAGTCAACTGAGTTTTGAATTAACCTTCTTTCCAGTCCCCTAATTCCATTCTCTCTCTCTCTCTCTCTCCCCCCCTCCCCCTCCCTCCCTCCCTCCCTTCCTCCCT